GTCTACACAGCATCTACCTACCTTCTACTCTACACAGCATGTATATATATATATATATATATATATAGCTCCTACTCTATAGTCTACACAGCATCTACCTACCTTCTACTCTACATATCCAGGCTCTGTATATATATAGCTTCTACTCTACACAGCATGTACATATATATTAATGATTCATATATTCATACATATATATAGCTGCTAATCTAGCATAGTAAACAGCACGTTGCGTCACCTGCTCTCGGTCTCCCGGCGTCTGCTGCTGCCGCCGCTGCTCACCACCACCGCCGCCCTTACCCCTTCTCTTCCCACTCCCCCTGCCCAAAGATGCACGCACCTTCGTCACTGCAGGGGAAGACATCGGGGTGGCGCTGCGTGGCGTGGATGCGGCCGATCCGCCGCCGCCGCCGCTACCGCCGCCGCCCGCTTGCCGGCCATACTCGCCGTATGGCGACTGCGGGGTGCCGGGGGTGGGCGTGCCACCGCCGCCGCCACCGCCGCCGCCAGGGGTCGCCGAGTAGTACTGTGGTACGATGGCAGGGTGACGCGCCGGCCACTGGCCGTGCTCGACGCAGTAGCAGATGTGCTCTATCCTGTGCATCAGAACCTTGTCCTGCAGGGCGGCGAACGCGGCGAGTTAGTTCGCGTGCGGTCAGGGTACGCGCAAACTACGATTGATTCGCAGCGTAACGAGACGTGGTTACGGATCGATCGCTGCCGTATAAATTTAGCCATTGTGCGTTTACGTGCTACTGGGAGTTAGCCGCTAATTCTATGCAGGCACTAGCAGTTTCACTCGAAATTTCTAGCAGCAAGGGTCAATAGTTTTGGCATAACATACGCCGGCAAACATTACGATCTTAGTAGATGGCTTATTAGTCCGGTCCCTTAGCTTCATGATCGTTACAGAGCTGACAAAAGCATCAAACTTGGCACAGTTGTAGCCTATGGCAGTACTATAAATATTAGAGGGGGTGCCCAATGTAGATATTCCTTATAAGTGAATTACAGATGATTAAATGTTCGAACCACGCCCGCCTGTACTGGCACATTGTATACAGCTGTTAACCCCACCCCCTCCGCGTGCATACGCTATTGTGCTATAGGCGGCATGAAAGTGTATTAACTCTCATATCTCGCAAACGAATTGAGTTTCATTTCTAGAAATCTAGATACATATAAACACATGGCTTAGCTATAATCCCCGTGAATTTTCAGGGAGTGTATTCGAGCAGAGGGAGGGAGGGAGGAAGGAGGTAGCACACGTACCTTAGGCCAGCGTATTGGGTTGTGCATGGAGTGAGCGAGCGAGGGAGAGGAGGGAGGGAGGGGGTTACACACATACCTTGGGCCAGCGTATAGGGTTGTGCATGGAGTGAGCGAGCGAAGGAGAGGAGGGAGGGAGGGAGGAGGTTACACACGTACCTTAGGTCAGCGTATAGGGTTGTGCATGGAGTGAGCGAGCGAAGGAGAGGAGGGAGGGAGGGAGGGAGGAAGGAAGGGAGGGGGAGGGGGAGTAGCACACGTACCTTGGGCCAGCGTATAGGATTGTGCATGGAGTGAGCGAGCGAGGGAGAGGAGGGAGGGAGCGAGCAAGGCAGAGGGAGGGAGGGAGGGAGGAAGAGAGGCGGTTACACACATACCTTGGGCCAGCGTATTGGGTCGTGCATGGAGTGAGCGAGCGAGGAAGAGGAGGGAGGGAGGGAGAAGGTTACACACGTACCTTGGGCCAGCGTATAGGGTTGTGCATGGAGTGAGCAAGCAGCTGAGCGACCGTCGGCGGATTCCGTTCTCCGTCCGATTCCATGAAACTCGCCTGACTCTCGTCGTCCGTGCCCAGTGGCGACCCCTGCTGGAGAGCAAACCAAACTTCGTTAGTTCTCACATAATATATATATCATACGGATTATACAGATTTTATATTATACGGAGAGAAACGTAGGGGAGGAGGAAGAGAAGCGCAGCTGTACCTCAAGTCTCATCATCTCACGGATCTTGGCAGGAATGGCAGAAGCAACCTCCTCCTCCATCTCTCCACCCAGCCGCGACGCAGTCTCCTCTTCCTGCTCCTCCTTCGGTGCAGCCGTCTCCTTTGCTTCCTCCTCCTCCTCTTTCAGGCTCCTTCTTCTTCCTTCTTCACTGACCCCAGCTTCTTCTTCCTTCTTTACAGGCTTCTCCTCCGCATCCTCGCCTTCTTTACAAACCTCCTCCTCCTCCTCCTCCTCCCTGGCTTCTATCTTCGGCTTGGCTTCCTCTGTCTTCACCAGCGCTGCTTCCCCTTCCTTTTCGTCAGCATGTTTCTCCTTTTCGTCAGTGTGCTTCTCCTTTTCGTCAGCGTGCTTCTCCTTTTCGTCAGCGTGCTTCTCCTTTTCGTCAGCGTGCTGCTCCTTTTCATCGGCGCGTTTCTCCGTCTCCTCATCCTCTGCTTCCTTCGACGTGGCTTCCTCTTTCACTTCGACCGCCTGCTCCTCCGTTTTCACATCTTCCATCTGCTCATCGGTCCCCTCGCTCACCCCACCCTTCTCCTTCTCCACTTCCTCCGTCTCTTCCTTGCCTGCGGGACAAAATGCAATTAACAACTGTTGTAAGGATGAATGCTGGAGTTAGTGCAGTCTACTGCTCTTGATGTTCATTTAAAATCGCATAACTCAGTCAAGTCCATGTTAGACAGCACCTCTACAGAACAGACCCCTGCCTATAAAGGACAGTTTTCCTCGACTGACCCTTCTACACAGGTGAAACTCTAGCGCGAATATAGTGAAGCGGAGGAGACAGTTTCCCTCGAGTGACAGCTACACCTGTGCGAAACTACCTCTACGAAACAGACACCTGTCTATAAAGGACACTATAGACAGCTCTCTTGCGTCGTACGTGACCCTTACACATACAGGGTCGATCGTAATCGACCCCACAATAAAACCAAGTGACGTTTGTTTCCTTACCCTCGCCAGCAGCAGAAGCAGGTGGCGCCACCTCCTCGTCGCCCGCAGCCATCGCCATCGCCAGCTCCTCCCCTCCTCCTCCTCCTCCTCCTCCTCCTCCTTCTCCTCCTCCTCCTCCTACCGCAGCCAGCACAGACTGAGAGAGACCTTCCTCTGCGCTGCGACATTCTGCCTCACGCGAAGCTAGACGACAGACTGAAGCTGTGTCAGCCCAGCCTGGAGCTGCCGGACTGGTGGACGTGCGGACGCCACGACAAGGACCTGCTGGTGGGAGCCGCGAGGTGAGAGAGCGAGGAGGGGAGGGGGAGGAGGAGGGGAGGGGGAGGAGGAGGAGAGGGAGGGGAGGAGGAGGAGAGGAAGGGGGAGGAGGAGGAGAGGTCACATCTAACGTTGCTCGTTTGTTGCACGGTGTTATTGTGCAGTCACATCTAACGTTGCTCGTTTGTTGCACGGTGTTATCGTGCAGTCACATCTAACGTTGCCCGTTTGTTGCACGGTGTTGCCGTGCGGTCACAGCTAACGTTGCCCGTTGTTTCAGGCACGGCGTCATCCGCACGGACTTCCACATCCTCCACGACCCGACCCTCTCCTTCAAGGACGCGCTACTGCAGGTGAAGCGACGTGTGGAGGCGGTCACCTCTCGGCTCGAACCTTGTTGAGCAGCTTGATGCGGTAGAGGCAGCGGCCCGCCCGCTCCTCAGTGATCGGCGCCACGTACACAAGCTGTGCCGCCGCCGCTAGAAAAACAAACGAACGTTGCTAACAATGCTTGATGAGGTAGAGGCAGCGGCCCGCCCGCTCCTCAGTGATCGGCGCCACGTACACAAGCTGCGCCGCCGCCGCTAGAAAAACAAACAAACGTCGCTATAAAGAAAACAAACGAACGTTGCTAACAATGCTTGATGCGGTAGAGGCAGCGGCCCGCCACGTACACAAGCTGCGGCGCCGCCGCTAGAAAAACAAACGAACGTCAGTGACAATGTACTCGTGCATGCGCTGATGGCCGCTGGCAGCGAGAAAACAAAAGAACGTCAGTGACAATGTACTCGTGCATGCGCCGATGGCCGCTGGCAGCGAGAAAACAAACGAACGTCGCTAACAATGTACTCGCACGTGCGCTTGCGATGTGTCGCTGCCGCTGCCGCTGCCGTGCGCAAGAAAACAAACGAACGTCACTCATGTACATTTCGAACATATCTGCGGTGCGAGAAACGGCTGCGAGACCACGCGACCCCAATCAGCATCCCCGATGCCCGCGTTGCCGTGGTTACCTTCCTCTGCCGTGAGCTCCTTGCGGCAGACGGCCTTGCACATGGTCATGAAGGAGAGGAAGTAGTCGGTTATGCTGTGGTCGAACTTCTTGTCGAGCCGCGCGAGAGCCTTGAACTTCCTCCAGTCGTACTCCTTCCTCTTCTTGTTGTACTCGACGCCAAAGCTCGAGACGACGCGGTAGAAGTCAGCCTCCTCGCGCCGCGACCACCTGTCAAATCACGCGCTCGTTACAGGTACGCTCGTTGCAGCTGTGTTCATTGCAGGTGCGCTCGTTAAGGTACGCTCGTTACATGTATGCTCGTTACAGGTGCGCTCATTACAGGTGGTTGCAGGTGTGCTCGTTAAGGTACGCTCGTTACACGTATGCTCGTTACAGGTACGCTCGTTACAGGTGCGCTCGTTACAGGTATGCTCGTTAAGGTACGCTCGTTACACGCATGCTCGTTACAGGTATACTCGTTACAGGTACGCTCATTAGATGAAAGAAGCCAAGCTGAGGGAGGCAGGACTTACCTCTGCTGCTGGTATCGTTTCTGCTGCTCTCTAACCTTCATTGCCTCCTGTGCTCTGAGCCTCTTCTCACACCTCTGCAATTTACAACACAGTAGTAATGTAAGTGATTCACCTA